TTATTCGTAAATATCGAAAGTTTCCAGAGTTTAGCAGTTTACGATGCGGAAATGACGTCACTTTTGCAGAATTTGTAAAATATGTTGTAAACCATGCACACGGCCAGGAGAAAGTGGACAGCCATTTTGTAACAATAACAGAACACTGTCGCCCATGTCATATCCGGTATGACGTCATAGGAAAGATGGCGACATTCTACAATGATACTATGTTTTTAATACGTACTGTAGGTCATACAAAGATGCGCAATAAACTGCAAGATCAATGTATTGATGCACATTTAAGAGATCAATTCTCACATAGCGGCGATTTGTTGTTTTTCTACAAAAGAGACCTTGTCGATCGTCACACATGCGTGCCGAGTTTCCATACGGCTCAGCAACGGATGTGGCGCGCGCTTCAACTGCGCGGGTTGATAGGTTTGGAATCAAATATCCAATCAAAAGAAGTGAAAGTGATGGTATCAGTAAGGACCAGTTACTACAAGTGTTGTTTAATAGTTTGAAGGACAGAGTACCACGTGTTCACAGGAAAGACGCCATGTTTGAAGCGTATGCCTCTGTCGACTTAGTAGACTTGCACAAGCTCCGAGACGTTTTTAGATCAGATTGTGATCTGTTTGATTATGACTGTTCACCATCAAGTATATTTAACCAATCGATACCAAGGAAACATCCAGACCGGTTCTTCAATGTTGAGTGATTAAACAGCTTGAATTTGGTTTGAATATTTCGCATACGAAAATGTAGACGCCACGATGTGCAGTTTCCCTAAATAGGACCTTTTCATTTTTTTAAGACATTTTAAAAAGAACAAAACCAAATGACAAAATATACGAAAACAAAAAATCGAACACATTTCGACAAGGTTTTAAGTAAATCACCGTTACGGCTGTTACTCGTTTATCACATTATTATAAACTTTTTAGTGTCATGTGTCTAGTTAAGACAGAGGATGACAGTGAACATCTGCAACCAAATCGTATTATGTTCACTTTCTCACATGTTCAGATAGATAATTATACAATATTATAACAGGACATCCCTGTAAGAATCATTTTTTATCGATAAAACGTGTATCATTTTCATTAACGGAGCACTTAAATAGATTAACTGCATTAGTTTCTTTAATGTCGTGGGACTTTTATTGTCCGTTATGAGAAGTTTATCAGTGATGTTTTAAACTTTTAACTTATTTCTTTAACTTCAGTATTTTGACACACCTTATCACGTTTCGTAGGAGATCACGTGACCTTACAGTCGTGCAAGATCCTTATATGGTATTTTGACATCTGTAACACGACGTTCCGGGGTTTTTTTTCTCTTGTTCAGAGAGCTCTGTGTACCGGGGTATCTATGACAATTGAGCGTGAACAACATTTTCCGGTTCCGGTGTGTACGATGTGTCGCCCGTGATACATACAGTTGTTGACATCACGAACGTTTTTGAACGTTTCTGTACCTCTACATTAAATATTCAGGTGGATCCCATCCTCAAAATCCCGGGGGTTCCGCTTACGGGTGGTCGGATGACGCAGTGAATAGCGCGCTTGCTTTTCACCAAGGCGGCCGGGGTTCGATTCCCCGATCGGACGTGAAAAGGTATGGGGTCACCAGCCCGACCATATGGATTTTCTCCCGGTACTCCGGTTTCCTCCCACATTAAGACTCCCGCCTATTAAAACCCGGGTTAACAAAAGTGATTAGTGTAAGTTGTAAAATAAAACAAATATTTATATCAAATTTTCGATGGCAAAAAGACGGGGCGGACCCTCTAATCCGGCCATGATTATCTCGGGGTATTGTGAGCAATTTAATCACGGTCTCTAGTCACAAGCTAAAGTTTTGCATGAATACATGAATATTTTACGATGTTGTTTTACATTTGAGGAAATTTAGAGAAATCTAAGTAGATGCAATACTTCCCCCTGGTAACACATGAACCCGGGAACATCAGACGAGTTTTATCTATCCTGATCTGAAGAGGGTAATATAAGACGTTTTATACGTTTAGATAAACATTCAGCGAAAATGCCACCCACAATTTACCTAGTCTAACAGTTCCATGTATAAGTTAAAACCGGTTTACTAGATGAAAGTATAGCTATATCAGGCTATATAATATGTTGGTGGTTTCTATAATAATAATAATACATTGTAATAATAATTCGAGGTTCTTATATACCGCTTTACCCCAACCTAGTTTGTAGGTCGTTTTAAAGCGGTTCACAAATCATTTTCCGTGGTTATAGGGCCTTTGCACCCAGCCACCATGTTTCTCAACTCCCTGGGGATCATACAGCCGGGGCTGCCATTTCGGCGCTCACAGCTAGCATTCAACAATTGTAGCACTGTCCAACCACGAACTCATTTACAGCTGAGTAGACTGGAACAAGCGGAGTTAAGTATCTTGTTCAAAGATACAACACAGTGGCGTGACGTGACTGGAACCAGCAACGAGCCCTGCGTCCTACCAATAGTAGTCACTAGACTACCGTGCCTCCTTTTTTGAGAAGAAGAATACCAATGGGCTTCCATCTATATACCGTGTGCTGTACATAACCTAGGGTATAGCATGGCTCATTTTCACAATAAGATAATCCCAATTATACCTTCATTGTCAGTTTTTAAGACACAGCTGGCGATACTCAAACAGGCCAGATATGAGGACAGATCAGGAAAGGGAGACGCGTGCAAATATAATCATGGATTATAGGGTTCGCCAGATCACATATGGTAGGATGACAGATAAAAACTATGTTCAGGCATCTTAATATTGAATAAAGAAATGTCCTTCTACGTGGATTAAATAATGAGTGCAGTCATCAGAAACAAAATGGAACGTCACAAGACGTAAGGTGAAAGGTCACCAGACGTAAGGCGAAAGGTCATCAGACGTAAGGTAAAAGGTCATCAGACGTAAGGTAAAAGGTCATCAGACGTAAGGTAAAAGGTTATCAGACGTAAGGCGAAAGGTCATCAGACGTAAGGTAAAAGGTCATCAGACTTAAGGTAAAAGGTCATCAGACGTAAGGTAAAAGGTTATCAGACGTAAGGCGAAAGGTCACCAGACGTAAGGTAAAAGGTCATCAGACTACAGGCAAATGAGAAACAAGAAAAGGTTATTACTTTTTATCAGGACAGGTTCAAACATACTTACGGTTATGATTTCTCATGCCCCTGTTATTGGGCTTATAAGTAGTATTTATTATCAGGAAAGGTTAAAACATGTTTACAGTGATACATTCTCCAGGCCCCTATGACCGGCCTAAAATCAGAGGTATTTATAATCAGGACAGGTTCAAACAATCTCATAGTCATAAAATCTCGGGTCCCTATGACCGGCCTAAAATCAGAGGTACTTATTATCAGGACAGGTTCAAACAATCTCATAGTCATAAAATATCAGGTCCCTATGACCGGCCTAAAAAGTGGTTTTTATCATCAAGACAGGTTCAGACATACTTACAGTGGTAAAATTCTCAGGCCCCTATGACCGGGCTAAAATCAGAGGTGTTTATTATCAGGACAGGTTCAAACATTCTCACAGTGGTAAATTCTCGGGTCCCTGTGAACGGGCTTACTTAAGACACAACTATATCTATATTTGAACCAACTATAACTTTCGAGCGGTATTTAAAATGACATCAGGAAAATAAAATTGGCAAATATCTGTGACATTACTTGGTCATATCTATTGGTAAAATGCGGACTTTATTTTGAAGTTTCTATCAAAAATATGTGGAAGATAAAAGCGGATATGAAATGAAAACGAAATCACATTTTCGACAGAAAATTTCTTTGGATGTGCAATAGAATACAACTATTCCCAAACAGATTTTCTTTCAATATGATTTTATTTTACCTGTGGACACTACAAAGGACATATGTTTCTATTCCTAGATTTTGACTATAAAACCCGAGTAAATAACACTCAAAACATTCGCATGTTTTAAACCGACAAAACAGTGAACAACAAAAGGTAAATTTGTGCCCTTTAGTTTGGTGCGAAGGTGTTTAATTATATCATGCATGTGTTACATAGTAATAAAAGAATTTAAATAGATTTTACAAATGCTGCTCACAATTATTCAATCAATCAAAGAAAATGTACTGTTTTCTATTCATATTTCACATTTCAAAGTATATTCTAATTCAGATATAAATGAAATGTTTATCACTTTTAAATACTGACCTCTAGAACATTTTAACCGCTTGGCATCAACACAACCAGTCTACATTAAATTGATGACATCATAGAGTAAGTGATAACGAGTTTGACAAATAGTTGACACTGGAATATAGTCATTACAGTGTAAACTCCAATTAGTACAATACATAGCTGAATAATGTATAAAGGACTCGAACAAGGGGAGCAAACTCGTTATGACTTACTGTATACCCCAATCTTATGTTGATACTTGATGTAAATCGATTTGTTATTTGTGGTACATTAACAGTGTAGATTATAAATGGCTTTGGGACTAGTCTGTCTACATAACGTATATCGTTTTACATAATACTATGCTGACTAGCCTTTACGTACACTTCAATAACTTCTGAACCGAAAGGCCTCCCTGATCCTTCTGTGTCAGTTATAATACCCCCAGTGGAACATATCGATACACATGCAATGTTGATTTGTTTGGAAACAGATTTTGTCGGATTGTTATACAGTACTTTTACAGTTTCTCTCTCTCATTTTTATTTGAACATGCTGTAAAGTCTTTATAAAAACTGATAATTTACTATAGTAGGTAAGCTACACAGCGTCATGAGAACACTCGTGATGCTGTTTCTATAGTTCTAATGCTTTGTCGTAGGGACATTTCTCAAGTACAAATCACAACTAAAATGTGCAACATAAAACACATGTACTCGGTATGTCCTATACACACATGTTATGATAGTGACGTATGATAGCCCTGTCTTATCAGTTAAACTATTTTTGGCCGAACGCCAGGAGTCCGGGACATTAGGCTGTCTGTCGGTAAAATCACGTGATATACCCGTAACAAGGAAGTGTATAGTTAAAGGTGTACCGACATAACAACAAAAAGGTGGCAGTTCACAGTTTGTAGACAAAGTATTTCACCAAACGCACTAAAGTACCAACACCATGGCAAGTAACAAATCCGTACTGCGTGCCCAGGACCCCGTTACATACACATGTGCTTTGTGTGACAGTGAAGACGGGGTACGATGGTATTGCAACGACTGTCAGGAGAATTTATGTGATCGTTGTAAGGAATTCCATAAACGCGGACGGAAAACAAAAAACGATGACGTCGTGTCGATCGGGGTGGCTAACCGCCAGTGCGACAAGCCTGTACCAGAGGTTTGTAAACTACACCCCGGTAAACTGTGTGATCTTTTCTGTTCGGACTGCAACGAGTTGCTTTGTTCGATGTGTTTATCTGAAACTCATAAACACCACAACTGGAAACATTTTGAAGACGGATTTTCTATTAAAAGGCAACATCTCAAAGAACATATGACAGCAATTTCTGTTAAAATAGACCATTTCAAGAACGAGACATCAGAGCGACATCGTGTTAACGAAGGGTTCAACGACAACATTGATACAATGAGGAAAGAGGTGAACTCTCAAAGGACGAAGTTAAAGGCAGAAGTAGATTCTATCGCTGATGCAATACTCGCTGAATTATCGGCTTTAGAAAAAGAAGAATCAACCATGCACAAGAAAGATTGTCAAAGATCAGAGAAAAAAGTCGAAGAACTGACGCGTCTGCTTGAACAAGCGGAAATGACGAATACATCAAGTATATCCTTGTTTGAAACAGAAAGTTCATTGAGGACAACTCTGCCCCTGTATGACGTTAATGTGAAATATGTCTCACCAAAACAACCAAGCTTTGTTACCGGAAGTATCGACCGCGTCATGTTGACGAAAATGTTAGGTGAATTACACCACGAGAACCAGTACGAGAAGACAGACATCGACAGTAAACACGTTAAACGTCTCTCTAAGTTTACGGTTACTTCACAAAATACAATATACGGTATATGTCCAGTCGACGACAGTCACGCGTGGTTATCAATACATCAATTCAAGAACCTGTTACTGGTCAACAGGGAGGGTGTGATCATAGAGACAGTAAAACTGGACTTCTGTCCACTCAGAATCATCATGGTCGGGACCACAGACATACTTATTACCAGTAATTCAGGTAGTACATTTGTATATAAACTATCACTACACAACAAACAAGTGACAACATTTGCTGACATTAAACCACATGAAGCATATGACGTCAGTATCAACGAGAGGGACGAGGTGTTTGTTAGTACAAACACACCAGACATAGTGGTACTGAATCAGTCAGGTACGATTGTGAGGAAGGTCACGATTAGATCAGAAACAATAAGGTACGTTGTCTGCTTGTCATCTGGACGTCTGTGTGTAGTTCAAAACGTTGGAGAACGTTTTACTGAGAGGACGATAAAGATAACAGACGAGTCAGGTACCGTCATACAGACGTGGACAGGTGAACTCGACAACGGTCTAAAGGTCGGTAGTATGTACCTCCTTAAGATGTCATGTGATAAGTTTGATAGAGTTTTTGTACCAGACATCCGTAACAATCAGGTGTACGTCCTACCGAGTGACGGCAAACAAGCTGTGTGTCTCCTGGACCGGAGACACGGAGTGGTGAAACCTGCAGCGATGGGTGTGGACACTTGTGGGAACGTGTGGATCGGGTGTGTGGACGGTAGCGTACACGTGATGGGACTGTAACATTAGGGAAATAGTAATATACGGTTCACTTGACCTCATGGTACAATAATTCGCGGTAATAGGACGAACATAAGTAACTCGATTGTTTGTACCAACCGATAAAACAAGATCATTGGAATGATCATCGAATTAGTAAGCTAGACTGAGGAGAGAAAGAGCAGCTCAGACAGAGACAGAGATAGAAACGAAAAGATGACGAATTATCATATAATACAAAGTAAACTGTATGATTGTGATCTGAAACGAATGTTTTGCTCTTGGCCGCCTCTGAAACGATGAAAATTGCGTCTGCTTCACAGTGACGTGACGTCACATTGATTGTTCCTATTTAAGGATTTACCTTCTTAATGTGCACCATAGAATATGTTCGTTGCCAACTGCGTTCATACTACCGTATACGCCGTCAAAATGAAGGTCAATCCTTGTATTCACATTCAAAAAATGTTTAAATTACTGAAGACACCATGAAATTTTCTATTTATTACATTTTTAAAGCATAAAACATGAAAAAATGTAACACGTGATACACTCCTGGCCAATCACTTGTCGGGAATAATATGAAAAAATAATAATAATATTTAACAACTATTAATTAACGTGTGTTACACAGATGTTTACAAAATGTAATCAACCGGTAAATGTAAGGTAATACAGGTTTGGTTTAAGTTGTTTTATACCTTGTAGTATTGAAATGTAACAAGAATGACTGATACATTTTGATTTGTATTTACATTGTTATAACCTTTAAACAGACATATATAGATATAGCACTAGATAAAAGCTTTCATTGTATTACTGCTGTGTATTTGTTTGTTTGAACTATTTTAGGAATCTGCAAATATGCTTGATTTTTCATCTTGTGTTTTGTGTATACCGGAGGTTTTTTAAAATTCCTTTCTTGTTATAATCGGGTTTTTTTGTTTTTATGAAAGTAGAAGAAAAAACTATTCTGTTTTCAACAATAATTTTCTTCTGTAAATCAGCAAAAAAAGATTGTGCAGGGTAAAAATTAAGGTGAAGTTTAGTTATAGACTTCTATCCCATCTATATATACCACTATCGGGGGAATGACATTTTATCATTTTTTTTGTTATATATCCAAATGAGAAACCTGAATCTGTTAGTCCAACAATTTCTCTACTGTTGAATAATTTGTTTAATTGAGGTGGGTTTTTTTGCTAAACACATGGTTGTTTATATATGTATATAATTGTTGTTTAAAAGAAGGAAAAACATTAACATATAATAAGCAAGTTTTTTTTTATACTCCCATCAAAGGTCAAGGTCGCCAATACTTTAAAAGTTCGCCCTTTAAATTTGTCATCACGTAGCGACCTCATTCCTGAGCAGAAGATCACGTCTTTAAATGGTTCAAATTTTGATTTTTGCATCGCACTGGCAGTAAATTTTCCGACAAAAATTGTAGGCATGGTTTTGGTTTTTTTCAAATATAACCAAACACGTTTTGAGTTCGGGACTGAAAACTTAATAGCAGTGTTTTTTTGTTCGGTTATCCCATTCAAACATACTTACAGTGATACATTACCAGGCCCCTATGATCGGCCTAATTAGAGGTACTGATAATCAGGACAGGTTCAAACATACTTACAGTGATATATTACCAGGCCTCTATGACCGGCCTACATG